GTCCCTGCTCCCCATCGCCATTGGCCAAAATGTCACGGCTGGACCCAGTCACTTCTAAGCCCAGGCGGCCTGGGATGGGAGGGTGAGGGATGGTGTTCAGCATCAGGGAAGGGTCACAGAGGACGTTGCGATCCCTGACCCCCTCTTAAAACCCTGAAACTAGGTCGGGGGCAGGCCACTCGGCCCCTCGAAATCACTTATCATTCAGTCCCATGGTGGCCCTACCCCACCTCGGCCTCCGTCCACTTTCCTTTCCCCTTCAAACCCGTTAAAAATCTATCCCTCCCCCTCCCCCTTTCGATCCCCTGCCGAGTAGCTCCCGCCCATTCCTGTTGCGTCAGTTCGAACTCACGAGTCGCTTGCTGCTGAGTGTTAATCCCTGCTTTATCTCCTGCGCAGGTCGCCGTGCTGAGATCTTCGAGCCCACAGGTAATTTGCGACACGGATCACGTCGAAGCGGCCGCGCACGCCGGTGAGAAGTTTGCGTTCGCAGTAGGCTCTTGACATTTCCCGATTTCCCCCACAGTGCTTTTCCTGAAAAACCGACAGCACGGCTGTTCGGAGAGGAGCCGAACCAGCATGCGTTCGAACGCCAGTGCCACTTCAGGTAAAAGCTCTGGGCGCAGGGTAACCCGAAATATATACCCAGCGCGTGTGTGACGGCTCATATCGCACTTAGCTGCAAGCTACTTGTGAGTTCGAACAGATAAAATAGGGATTGACGGTGTTGGGGGGTTGGGGAACAGGGGTATTCATTAAGGCAAATGAGAGGTTAGGATGCACACACAGCAAGTAGTTGGGGTATTTATCCCAAAGGGAGTTGGGTATAAAAGCCGGAAGGGCTATGTTTGTGTAATGCGCATCAGGAGGATTGTGTACATGATGACCGACAAATAAAGGTTAGTTTGCCAGCGCAGCAAGTAATCGGGAAGGCCGGGACGGTTTATTGTGAGGGGAAGTGAATACAAGAGGAGGGAGGCCATGCCTCAGTTATACACGGGAGCAGCCTCTAGAGGGGCCGAATGGCCAGATCCTGCTAGCCGCTCTGGAGCTGCTCCTAGACCCTGCCCCTCCACTGACGGTATCGTTTCCCTGTTTCCTAGGAGACGGTTTGACTCAGCACGCGATGTGAGGTGAGTTCACTCTTCATCGATCCTCGCGTGGTTATCGAAGCGGGTAATTCCTACCCCACCCCCGGCCGAGGGGGAAGGCCATTCGGCCCACGTGTTCGGGATATCCAGTGCGCCCGCACAGACCAGGGTCCAAGCCGTCCGATGGAGGAGCGCGTGGTTTCGGGGCTAGTAGGAGAATGGGGCTCTTCGGCCCGGTCAGGGTATGGGACAAATATCCACCCTCCCCCCCACCCCCAGGCCCTCCCCCTTAAAATTCCCCCCCCACCCCCAGGGCGCTGCCCTTAACCACCCCCCCCCCCCACTATATTCTCCCAACTCCTGGGGCACTGCCTCAAACTCCACCATCCACCCTGCTGCCCCCTGCCCTATCTATTTACCCCACAGCCCCTATTTACCCCACTGCCCTG